GAATCGTACGGTGTCGAATAATCTGGTGTCGAATCGTACGGTGTCGAATAATTTGGTGTCGAATAAATCTGTGTCAAATCGAGCGGTGTCGAATCGTACTGTGGTCAATAGAGTATCACCCGGTTTAGGTTACCCTGGAGGAGGACAGCCATTACGCTGTCGGTGGAGCCTTTACCTCCATCTCCTCTTCCAGGGTACCATTCACCGGGGTAAGCTGGCTAGCCTCATCTTCAACTGCTGCCTTAGCTGGAGTGGCAGCGGGACTTCTTTCTGGCGCGGGGGTGGGACTTGGCCCGGTCCCCGCAGCGGCCTTCTTTGCCCCGCGTTTCTTCCTGCGGGGAATCGGGGCGCAGGCCTTTCCACTCAGACGGTAGCCCGCAGGCCTACCAAAGTCGGTGCAAAGCGGACATTTTACCGTGGCCGTTTTGCACCCCGCCGCCTCATGGCCTGAGTCGCCATACCGGTAGCACCGGCCCCTTCTGTTTTCCTCCGGCGCAGTGTAGCGACAGGTCGCTGGTACGTGGCCGTGCCGGAAGCATCTGAAGCATTGTAGGGGCCGGCGCTCTAACGGCTCAACCGACGCTTTCACCCACCCCATCAGCAAAGATCCAGCACCCACGACTTTGCGCGCAGCAGCGACGGGGCATTGGATCTACGCCGTGAACAGGCCGTTGGGGGAAGCGCGAGCTCGATTGACCTTTATATCGGCCAGCCGACAACTTCTAACGGTCGCCACGGCTGCCTTAATTTTGTCCGAGGTTACGGACTCATCGAGGCCCCTCATGTGGAGATTGCATGTCTTAACGGGTCTTGCTATCCGCACCTCGGACTCCCCCAGGGTAGCGACCATGCCAGACCGAAGTTTGTCTGCCTTCTCGTCGCTGTTTTCCCCGAGGATTTCTAATATGAAGGCTCCCGTAATGGCCCTTTTGACCACAACGTCGGGGATGCCATAATCCTCCAGCGCTATGGCCTTCCTTGCCTTGGCCAACATCCCCCCGACGTCTGCCCCGGATCTCGGGACAAAGGTGAGCGTGATGGCTGCATTGCGGGGAGGCCTACTCACCTTTGGTTGAGGCGGGCGCTGTTCGGGTCTGGGCCCTTGAGCAGCAGGCTTCCCGCCTTTCCCCAAGGTAGCAGGAGTACCCTCCTTCCTCTCTCCTTTCCTCTTTTGCCCCACCACCTGAGACCAAGTTTCCCTTGAGGGAAACTTAGTGAGGCCGGGAGAGCGGCTCAGTCAAGGGGCTGGCTGGGGGACTCAGGCTGCGTCGGCGCGTGAGCCTTGGCTCTGCCGGCAGCGGTCGCGGGTCCTCTACCCTTCTCCCAATCCGCTCTCTTTTTCTTTCCCTTCTTCTTCTTGTTTTTCTTTTTCTCCTGCTTAGCAAGAGAAGAAGTTTCCCCTTTGGGGGCGGTAGTAGCAGGGGGCTTGCCCCCTGCTCCTGTTCCCTTACCCGCAACATCTCCCCCCCGGCGGAACCAAGAGATGGGCGGAGGAACCGGAGGTGGATTTGCTCAGAGGGACTGAGCCCTTCATCCGCCGCCGGCGAGGATAAGTGTTGGGGCGGTTTTGAAATATCCAGCCCATCTCTCACTGAGGAGTCCATGTCTATGTCCTCCACAGGCGCGGGAGGCGTGGCCTTTACGTGAGGCCGCCCCGGCGCCCGGGAGGAGGACGGCATGGATGGTTCCTTTCCTACCCTTGAGAAAAAAGGGATGGCTCAAGGTTGTGGGGAAGGAGAGGTCGAGCAGTCCTTAGGCTTGTTCCCTCCCGAACCCCCTTCAATTTCGCCATTCTGAGAGAGATTAATTCCCTCCTCAGGTTCCCTAGTTCTTCGTAAAGCGCGTCCACTTCACGGTGGAGAGTCTTGTTCTCCTGCTGGACGTTGTCCAGCCGTGATTAAACAGCGCCCCTCTCCACCTCTAGGAAGGCGACCTTTTCACGAAGGGTCGACACCTCGGTTCCCAGCTAAGCGTTGAGTGTCCCGAGGCGCCAAACCTCCCTCTCCGAGTTTGTGCAACTGGCCACGATATTAACCTGTCGCAAGCCGCTGGCCGCCTCTTTAAAACGGCAAACGAACACGCCCTTCAAGTTTTTGGACTTTCGGGCCATATCCTCCATCGACGCTGCCAGCTTGGCAGCCTGTACGACAACCTGTTCGGTCGCCATGTCCTCTGAAATGACAACCCCAAAAGGCTGTCCCTCCGCAGTGCCTTCCGCCCGGTTAAGGGTAGAGGGCGCGCTCTGAGAGCGGGTTGGAACTCAGATGGCGTCAAAGTCGTTAAGCAAGCCTCCTCAGCCTTAAGCTGCAATTCCCGCTTCTTGGCCTTATTCAAGCTGCGCTTGGCGGCAGCTAGGCCTATATATTCTCCGGTTGTTAAAGGACGGCGCCCTTTCCTCTTTCTCTCTCCACAGCTATTTGTTCTCTTGGGCGACCCAAGAGGCTAGGAGGGGCGGGACTTACTGCACGCTTTGTGTTGTTGTTGGGGTTTCGGCGGCAGTACCGACCTCGTTTTCAGAACGACCTCGAGCTCCGAATTGGAGCCATCGTCCGGTAGAGGGACGTCCATCGGCTCGATCTTTTCTAGAATGACCCGGTAATTACCGGGACACTCTTTCCCGGCACCAGACGAGCCGGACTGAGCCGTGGAGTGGGTGGATAGGTGTTGTCCACCTGCGCCCTCTTCTTCCTGTTCCGAGTCCGAGCATAACCAACTCGGACTCCGAACAAGTCTTGTGTTCCGGCCCCGTGAGGGACCGAGACACAGGGATTTGCTCCCCTCGCGAACTGCTGCGTTGGCAGCACTTTTTGCAGACGCATTTTTCTGTGTTGCCCCTGCGGAGCAAGCAACACAGAGCTCGTCGTCAAATGACGACCCAAGAGTGGCCGGAACAGTACCACCCAAGTGCCGAGACCTGGCCGTCCGTTCGATCTGGTTCGGTACGTTGTTCTTTTTTTCCTTGCGCTCCATCATAGTGTTTACAAGGTAGGGTTTGATTTCGGGGTCACCTTTCCCTAGGACAGTTGACGACCAAGTCTGACGAGCTTGTCCTGCCCGAGTTTCTTGCTTCGGGGTTGTCCTTCTCCTAGTGCGGCTCCCCCACGTGGGGTAACAAGCCTGCACGCCCGGATTCGAAGTCAGGGTTTTCTCCCCTATCCCAATTGCTTCGTCTTTGGGGACTAACGGAGCTGAGAACTCCGGGTTTTTGTTCGAGGTTTTCCTTCCTTTATTCCCACTCTTAGTACGGAAGCTCGGTGAGGGACCTTCCTGGCATAGGTGACCCTAATATAAAAATAAAACACGTTACAATATATACACATATTTTTATCAAATGGAATCTTGTTCGTCCTATTAAATTAACCACTTTTTGATTATTGTTTTTAGAACCTCAATCTTTTATTTTTATTTACTTGACGCGAATAATGACGTCCCCGGTTGCGGTTCTTCGTCCGCTTGATTCTTTTTGGTTATATTTAACACTCAACGCTCCGACTGATGTCCCCGTTGACCGACGGTTGCAAAGGTTAGGTTGTGACCGGACGGCATACGATTTCAACCAAATGTTACGGTCGCCACCTGCTTTAACCTTCTAAGCAGGAAGGAATCACTTATCTTTCTGTTGCAGGGAACGGACTCACCAGGACGTGGTCGCCTTCCGCCTTGAATCTTGCCGCTGCCGGATTTTCGTCGAGACTCCTTGGATGATGATACGCTTGGACCAGCAATCGGCTCAAATCTTTACCACTAGCAAAAACACCAGGTAGGTATCTATTGTTTAATAAATTGCACACTTTATTAAATATATATTCGGTCACTGGAGCCGTTCGCTAGGTGTTGTGCGTAAATTATATTCAATTATATTCAAAGAAAATGGCGTTGTTCGAATATATATATATGAATATTGCGAGAAAAACTCCAAGTGTCTCGGTGGCCGAATAGGAAAGGCGACGGCACGGAAAGCCGGAGATTCCAGGTTCGACTCCTGGCCGAGGAGTTTTTTTCGCAATANAAATTTAATTTCAATTAGGGGGGTATTTGGGATTTCTCATATAAGAGATGCAAGTATAGCATCCAATATGAATTTTAGAATTGTTATTTCAATTCGAATTTCACGTGTAAAAATTTACATGTGAACACGTATATATGGACATATATACACGTATAATTTACGCACAACACCTAGCGAACGGCTCCAATGACCGAATATATATTTATTAGTTTAGAAACTACAGAGCCAAAAAAGATTCTTTAATTGCACACTTTAAGTTTGTATATAAAAATAGTTAAGAAAAATACTTTTATTCAGTGTAATAACTACACCAGTGTTACAATATTGAGCCGGCTCGACTGTTATATATCGTTTCCTCACGAAGTGCATGCTAACGCGACTTGGAACGCACTCCTGTAGGGAACGCTTGGCTTCGGGGTGAAACCTCGCTTTCCCCACTCCCAGTCCGCACATGCGCAATCGACAATAGGCGTAAATTTTTCTAAAAGTGGAAGATTTGAATAGAGTCGTTTATTTAGGAATAAATAAACATTCTTGTTTAATTTAAACACACACACATACACAACAATTGTGACTTCGACCAAAGTTAGACTTATACAATACTAACCGACTTTGGCAAGTTAGGCAAAAATTTAAATGTGACAAATTTTGATCAAACACGTTCTACTTTTGATTGAAAAACTTACTCCCAAAGTTTTCCCAACTTATTCCTAATTTTTTTTTATTCCCGGTGAAGTCGTTGCTGGACAAGGCATCTCACCAGAGAAGTTTAGGTATGTATCAACTATTTTACATCAATTATGTCTAAAACTTAGTGAGATACTTTTTTTTTGTTATCGGGGGGAAATGCTTTATGCATACTTATGTCCCTGGGGGAGGACACAGGTTATGCGGGACTCCCCTCAAAGAGAGGGTTTACCCGCTAAAACTCCCCGGTGATCATCCATCGCAAATGGGAGAAAAGGTGGCTGCCTGAAAGGCACTTACTTCTCCCCTCTTCCTCGTACGATCAAGCAGAGTTGTAGTCTCAGCCTACTTCTAAAGTTTATGGGGAAGTAACAAAACCACATTGTTAATTCCCCATTACTATCCTGCAGACTGCGTGCAATGGCCGAGGAAGACCCCCCAGTCTTCCCCTTTCTGCAGCCTGCAACCTTCCTGTCGGCAGAAAAGTGGTTACCTCCAAGAATCGAACCCACGCAATTATCGAGACTACCGTCTCTGGCCTTGGCGGATTCTCTCCGCTTCTTCTTTAGTCAACATCACCGCCTCGCAAAAAGCGAGGAAGGCAAGCCAACTCTTCTGATCATTAACAGACCGCTCGATGATCGAGGCCAAGGACAAGTCCGGTCCGATCACTCTAACGAAGGCCAATCGTTCCCGCACCCATGCTGGACATGCAGCAAGGGTATGTTGAGCCGAGTCCTCATCGCTCCCACAGTGGTCGCAGTAAGGATACTCAGCTTTCTTTATCCCATACAAGAAGGCGTTGAAAACGCCATGGCCGGTGATTACTTGGGCAGCTCTAAAAGATAGGACCGCCCCCCCCCCGGCATGCTACCCAGCGGTCCAGCACCAGCTCAAAAGCC